CTCTGTGTAAATTTCAAAAACACAAATTTGAGAAAAGAATGATGCGTATTGAGTCTATTGGAGACTTTACTTTTTACAAAGTGACATTGCCAACTACTGGCCAGGTAACAATCATTTTTGTGGATCTGTGTGACAGGGGATTGTTAAACATACCTATAATTACAACGTACGATGCATTCATATTTTGGTTGGAGCACAACCTTTTCTACAAAAAAACAAAAAAAAAAACAGCAAGACTCTTCTTGAAATGATGAATAAAGAATGCACATTGGATGTATTTTTATTCAGTTTATGAATTCACAATTGAACATAGGCCTACAATTTAGCTAGTTTTAATCTAAATGAACATAAAAAGCCTATGTCCTCAACGAATCTTGAGGAGTTTTCCATTTGTGGTGGAGTTCATGTGCGATCAACTATTCCGACGTGACTGAAACGCACCATAAATACACAGATAAAGTATAATTTATACACCATTCATGCATCATTTACACTTATGTTACACATTATGTTGTACTGGCATTTAAAAGGCTTCCTGACTTTATCAGGAAGAGAAATTGTCCAGCGAGCCCATTTTATTTAGATAATAATTGCTTGTGAAAAATCGCTCACAAGTAAGGATCCTTGTTGTTCCATCAACCAATTAGAATTTAGGGTAAAGTAAAAAGATCAGGGTTACGTTAGAGTTATGTACAGGTAGTGTTAGTCTCAGGACACCAATCTTGGTTGTGGATTAGGATAGGTTTATGACTATTTTTTTTATATGAATGATATTGTAGGACCAACTAGAGTTGATCTGGGAGCACGTCTTGGAAAAATCATGGTGAGCATAGTACATGTCAATGTCCTTTTCTTTTGCTGCTTTGTGGCTGGCCAGTTTCATTTTCCAATCCCTTTCCTCCCGCATTCCACTGTTATATCCATAAATATGAAGACATCAACGAGATGACAAGTTGGTAATAAAATGCAAATCTGTCCTCTGTGCCTATTGCGAATTTCAAAAAGGAGTCTCGGGTTGCCTTGCGTTACTTTCCTGCATATGAAGGCGTACCAATATCCTAATTCGCAGATTAAGAGTGATGGTTCGCAGTTTAGCATTCCACGATCTCTGCTTGCATTTAAGCAATCACTCCTTTGGGTGGCCCAATGGCCAAAGAGCGTTTGACAAATGCTGTCAAATGTTCTGCTTGGCGAATGCCCCGGATTTTCTCATCAATACCAGAAAATTCAACTGCATCATTCACAAGACAGATTTAGGATGAAAGGGAAGGGTTTGTGTGCTTTAGATTCTGGAAACAACATTTCTAAAAGCCTCGGGTGACCCAAAGAAAGGAATTAACTGCAAGGGAATGAGTCTGACATAAAACTCAAGGTTAAAGAAGTCCGCTAATCCACCGTTCGGTATTCAAGCAAGGATGGTTTCAAACACAAAGTTCTTAGCTGGAGTGTCCTGCTTTAAAATCAAGCCCCTCTTTAAATTTGCAGGCAGCATTAATTCCACCCCCTTAAGGGATGCAATGGATTCTAGCGCATGGACCAGCAGGTTAAGAAGATGTATAGCCACAGTAGTCCCATCCTTTACACAAGAATGTAATGAAATGATAAATCGAGGCCTTTACCCTTGCGAGGCTTTAATTACCAAGGGGTGTTTGTGCCAGGATTGCAAGGTTTAGGAAACCCTTGCTACGAATAAAGTGGAGAAGCTGGAAACTAAGGGTTCAAACTGACGCTGTTGAAAATTGGGATCTCTCAAGCAAGGTACTCCTTGCTCCTTCCGTCTTAAAAGAGCAATTTCAAGATACGCCCCTGTGGATTTGCTACAAACAACCTTGCCCAAGACAGACCGTGCTTAAATGGGTCATGATCTAGACGAAAGAAAAATATTTCTGGATTTTGAGAAGGCAGATGCGAATGCGAGCTGACTCATCCTTTTGACGTATGTCTGTATGAAACAGGTTTATGTCTAATGCCCTTAAGGTCACAAAATTGGATTAACATCATTCAGTGACAGTTACAGTGGCAGCATATTCACTTCTGAGCATTTCTGAGACAAAAAAAAAAGGATTATGCAGAGATCATTTAAGAATCAGTAGCTCCATCTAGTGGTGAATTAGAAGAGGTGTCCGACAATACATGGATTTTATTTTAAGAAAACATTACATTAAATTAAAGAACAGATGACAATGGATATTTAGGAAAAGCATCTCTGTCACACCTATTAACAATATGCATTTTAATCAAATTTAAACATCACAGTCCAGCAAAAATAACTCCTCAGCTGATGTCCTCCTGCATCATCTCGCACCAAGACAAATAATCAACAGATGAGTAATATTTAGCGCATATTGGGTAATTTTTTGCGATCCTTGGTGGCATTGCGCTTCCTCTTCTTGCTCAAGAAGTTCTCCAATTTTCCACTCCTTTTCAGCTCGCTGTATTTCTCTGCCAATTCCAGCTTCTTCATGTCAGCTGTAGAGAGGTTTTAAAGAAGTTTTAAATAAAATAAAAAATAGCACATTATATAGGTTATTATTTGATGGTTCTTTGTTAAATGACGCACAATTGCGAACACTGGCGAAACCGGAGTAGGAATAGCGTGGCATTCCACTAACAAATCTTCTCCAAAATAATCAGTACTATAATAAACAATCAAGGAACATGATGAAAAGACTCACATTTCTTCAGGTAGAAGGGTTTGTGTCCTTGGCCAACCAACTCTCTCTGTTTCCGCTTGAACTCAAGTTCCTTTTGTCTATCCTGCTCTTGCCTTTGACGTTCCCTCTGTTGGTTTTCCTGTGGTACACACACAGATTAGATATAAAGCACAAAATAAGCAGCAATATTAAGCTTAACACAGCTGTATGTAGCTGTTCTTAAATGCATTTAAGTATATTTCAAACGTACCATTCTCTTAAGCAAGGCTTTCAGCTCTCCCTTTTTAGTTTTTGATTTGGCTTTTTTGAGATTCATCTTCACTAACTGAAACAAATAGCAGTGGACATAAATGTGATGCACGTAATGAAAACAAACAGGAATCAATAAGGCATTTTACATTTTCACAAACCTGTGCTTCCTTTTCTCGGAGATCATTAATGAATTTGTGCGTCTGATTAAAAATTTCAGGCTTGAATTCCCCTGAGAGGTCATCAAAACGAGGGTCTCTTGAAATCTGTTTACAAAGCGAAAAATTGAATCTATGATTTAATAAGTATGAGCAACCATTCATTTAATAAACTCGTAAAAAATGTACCCTTTTCTTAACAGGAACCACTTTTCGGAGGAAAGGCACATGTTTCTTTGCAGAAATCTCTTGAGGTCTGAAGACGAAAACACACAGTGATTAGACAAAACATACACAAACTGACAGACAAAATAACTTTACCTCACATAAACAATTCTTTGATTATTTTTAGTGAGATGCATCAATATAAACAATGATCAAATGTGGTTAAACTTTGATTTAAAAAAAGAAAAGGCCTTGTTTAACAGGTCACTGTTGTTATTGTTAACTATATATGATTTTTGTTAATTAAAATAAAGCCGAAATAACATTAAAAATTAAACTTAAAAAAAACAAATGGAAATTAGAAATGCTCCCTTGGCTACTATAAGCTGAAGTAGTAAAACTACAAAAAATAACATTTGAATATATATATATAATTTTTTTTAACAATACACAAATAAAAGATAATTCAAAATATGAATAAATACTACTGCGGGTACCTGTGTTTATTTAGCCGTTTCATGGGCTCGTTTTTTTGCTGCTGCTTTGTGTCACCATAAGCGATTTTATTGTACACTTTTGTTCCGACTTTATTCTGTAGCTTTAAGATTTCCTCAAATGACATGGTTGATAATTCTGTACAAACAAAAAGATATGAGTGTAAATGTAAATATGTCTCTTTTAACCAGGGTCAGCATATAATCATTTAAATGACAAAATTGTTGCTTCTTCCTACCACTTTTAAAGCTGCCCTTCCTCTGTGTTTGTGCCTTGCTGCCTCCATCTTCATGGTCACTAACGGACTTATCATCTTCACTCTCTGTGTCACCTTCATCACTCCCTGAGTCACCTTCATCATCAATGCCATTGTCTCCAACCTCTGCAGATTCATCTTCATCCTCTTCAGGTGCTTCATCATCCTCTTCATCTCTAATTTTCTCTTCATTCTCAGCTGAAGCTTGCACCGTGCTCCTTTTACTGAGTAAAGCAAAGTTTCTCTCCATCTCTAAAGCGTCCTCTTCATCATCAGAACTGTGATTTTCCATTTTGGTAAGTTTCTTTACTGATTTAGGCATTTTAGTTAGGTTCTTGTCCTTTTTAACCTGATTTTACTTCGCTTGTTTATAAGCTGAGGAAATGATGCATTGAACAAAAAGATGTCAATGCAAAACTTTACAATTTATTATGTTAAATACTGTATTATGAATGCTAACCATGCACAAAGCCATTAACCTTATTAAAAGACAGTGTACATGTCTTGTACATGACAATATGAATATGTCATATCGTCGTTCACAAATAATTAGAGATATATGAAAAGTTAGATTCGTTTATTACTTTTCTCTCCGAAATACTTGTGCTTACTGTGTTGTTGTTTTTATCCACTTACTTGTGCCTCGGAGTACAGCAGTCAAATATGCCGATAAAAGGAGGAAAATATTAACATGACAGGTTCATTACAGATGCAGTGTTGCCAGATAACTGGCATAATATGTAAAAACGTATATAATAACACCAAGTGAAGACTAATATTTGCGGAAAAAGCTAGTTCCACACGCACGTGGAAGTTTGAGAACTGAGCATGCGCGTCACAAAACGTCTATCAAAATAAAAGTCCTTAGGCTAATTATAATTCGGTTAAAATAAATGTACTTGGAGACATGTAAACATTAATATTATGTATCTTGAAGATTTAATACAATAGCTTTGTAAATTCAATCACACTATTCAGGAAAAGGATGACACAAACATAAAATAATGACTTCAAGGTTTTATGTTTCGGTAATAGCCCTTTATTTTGACATTTACATTCACCAATATTTAATAGGATACAACTGCCAGGATTATGTTTATGTTTACAACATAAAAGCGTAAATATGATCATATTTATTAGGCTAAATATCAAACTGGGCGAATATGAATTCAAATTGTTTCCATATTTTACATAATGTTAATAATAATGTTCACACTCTCCAACCTCCATCAGTTATTTGTTTTGATATAGTGACATACATATATCTAGTCATATATATATATTATGCCTTCCCTTTTGTTATTGTGATAGCATTAGCCTATATCTGTATTAGTTTTTAAAATGGATGTCTTAAGTTTTCAGCCATGTAATTCTGACATGTCCCAGACCATGTTCAGAGGTAAGTCCTTCATTCTTTCTTGGTAGACGCGGTCGAAACATTCATTCTGAGCCACTGTTAGAGAGTTCCTCCAGTCCCCAACTGTTCCTGTAACACGGCAGGTCCAAAACATTAATACATGCCTTTTCCACCACCGCTGATGTGTCACTTATCACATTTAATAATTAACTTTTAAATAATGAATAATCTCAAAAGTCTACTGTGACCCCTTGAACATAATGTTTTGAGAACATTTTGATGGAACATTCTATCATCAAAGAAAGAAAGCAAGTTTGTTCATAACTTTCTGAGAAACTTGTCATAAAGTTAGCCCAAGTTCTGAAAACGTTCCCTGTTAGCTGGGATCATGAAAGTGACAAAGTCTCTGTTCACATCTTATCTTGAAGATTAATTTTACAGTGCTTCAATTACCAACTCTTGATTTTTTTCAGTTTTTTCTGACCTTTGCGCAAAAAAACTCCTTTGCTATCTTTCATGACTTCCTGAGCAACGGATTCATAGTTGGCCAAGGGGTCTTGCTTCATGTGTTTGAACGTGGCAGTCTCCACCACTTTATGAATCGCTGCGTCAGACAGATTCTTCCCCACAAACTCACAGATTTTCACAACGACAGACCTGAGGTCCTGTTAAAAGGTTGGTTCATGTCATTGGTCAGTCTACAGATACCAGTAGCCATCGACCACAACATTAGAAAAGAAATAATAACACTTGAAGGAAAGATGATAAGATCATAAACTGAACCAGTCTCACCTTGATCATTTCTTCATAAGTAAGGATCAGGATGTTGTATTTGTCTTTATTTGTAATCCATCCTTTAACATGGTCAAACCAGCAGCCACCAATCACTACAAACCAGGCACAACATTAGTGTCAAACTTTGTAGAATGTTCAAGATCTGGTTATATACATCCAACGCACATGGCACCCTTTACCGTCAATATAACACGCTTCGGTTATGGGTAGGTCTGGGGTAGCATAAGGGTTAGACCACTAGGAGGCGCCTTATGGCCCATATATATCTGCGTCTCATATTGACGCTAAAGGGTGCCATGTGCGTTGGATGTAGACATATTGTCAAATGCCTTGGGATGAGAACGGGATATATAAACATACATACATTTATCGTACTACACACACACATAAAATAAATACATAAACACATATTTTTTTTTTTTTATAAATATTTACTAGCAAGTATCTGTTGTCATGATAGTTGTGGCTCTTACTGCATCCTGTGAAGAATTTTTCCAGCATTTCGCCCATGCTCTCGGTAGAATCCAAGTTTGTCATGTTGTTGGAAAAATGGAAATATGACACCATGACGTCTTTAGGGTTTCTCATGACGTAGATGATCTGACATCAAAGAGTTGTATTTAAAACTGTGCATGACGTCAATGCTGTTTATTAATCAATTGATGAACGCATACATACCTTTCCTTTTGTTTGCAGCGCTTTGGGTATCAGCGGCTGGAGTAAATGGGAACAGAAGAGTCTCGGAGATGGACGAATGCTGTAATTTTCCCCCTTCAAACAATACTCTAGCCAGGGCATCTGCTCGTAAGTGCTTTGTTTGGCTTTGTCCGGGAAATCTTCCTCGTATATTAAAGTAATGATCCGTTGGGTCCACACCGTACCTGAGAATCAAGCATTTAATAGGCCAACATGAAACTTTTCTGTCATATTTAGAAATGTACGTGCTAAAAAAATAGTCTACTCTTTGGCTTTTTATTATTATTATTTTGTCTACACTTACCTGATTTCGGGAAGGTAACAAGAAAGAGATCATCATGCTTGGTTTCGAAATGCTCTAAACTGTCAATGTACTCTGGAGTAACATCGTGATCTTTTTCCAAAGACAAGACAGTGTTTTTGTACGTGATCAGTTTGTCACTAATCTCTTTGTAATCCTGCTGAGCCATAGTTCTTGGTGAGCCAAATAGATTGTAAATGACGAAGGGAAATTGTTCAAATATATCCGTGCAGGCCCAGACTTCATTGAGAAAAAAGGTTATCTTTGCTGTTACACGATGGTCAAAGGATTATTTATGGAGTTCATGGCCAACCTTTGGACACTGTGCTTTAAAGGGATAGTTCACCCAAAACCATTACTCACCTTCATGTTGTTCCAACACTTTAAGACTTTTGTTCATTTTCGGAACCCAAATTAAGATATTTTTCATTAAATCTGAGAGCTCACTCCTCCATAGGTTTCTAAGGAATTGAAACTTGCCGGCCCAGAAAAGTTATTAAAGACATCGTTAAAATAGTCCGGGTGACTACAAGTTTTTTTTAAGCGATGAGAAAATTTTGTTTGCGCAAAAAACAAACAATAGTAACGACTTTATTCAACTTTTCATTTCCTTCTCTGTGGGTCTCGAGTGAGTTCACGTAGTGTAACTGCGCACGCAGCGATCTTTCCTCGGGCTAATTATATTTCTGCCAAAATAATTGTATTCGGAGACATGTTTTTTTTTATACATTAAATACGATAGCTTTGTAAATTCATTAATTACATTTTGGAAACTGATTACACAAACACATGAAAATAACAACTTTCAAGGTTTTATGTTTTGGTAAATTTAGTTCAGCATTTGCATTCAACCAACCTTTAATAGGCTATTACTGCCAGTATTATGTTTACATTTACAACATAAAAGCGTGAAAAAAACGTAAATATGATCATATTTATTAAATATCAAATTGGCTGAAAATTACTGCAAATTCATATTGTTTCAATATTTTACATATAATAATAGTGTACTTTTCAACCTCCATTAGTTATCTGTTTTGATATGGTGACATCTAGTCACATTATGTCTTCCTTTTATTGTGACAGAACCCAAGTGCAGTTTATTACAAACAAAACTAAACATAACACAAAATGTTCTTGCTGTGCCAAATCAACATTGGCGTGTGTGTTGCCAAAAGACCGTAAATGACGAAAACTGTTATGTCCGTGCAGGGCCAGATTTCTTTGAGACAAAAGGTCATCTTTGCTGTTAAACAATAGTCAAAGGTTTATTAATTTTTGAGTTCATGACCAACCTTTGGACACGGTGCTTTAAACTACAACTTAATGATCAGTCGTTGTAGGCCTATATTTACTACAAAACTTTGTAGGCCTACATATCCTCCAAGTTTACGTCTTAGTTTTATATTTTATATTTTTGTTTTTAGATTTTAATTTATATTACTTATACATTTTTAATATAATAATCTTATAATAATACAGAATAAACAGTCTCAGAAGGACATGTTGCATGAGATTTATAATCTCTATAATTTCAGCCTAAATTAAACCACTGAAAGCAATTAAAAGTCAAAGAATAGTTGTTATGTAAGATAGGAGGGCAGTTCAGAGAGTTTCGCTCTAACTAGGACTATGTCCCAGGTTAACCTCATCATAAAAACTCTAGTTTGCAGTATGGAACGTAGAAAAGATGAAGCAATCTTAATATAGGCTCGGCTGGAGATTGATGCACAAACTACACAACCTTAAAGGGATACTCTTAAACAGTTCGGTTTTACCGTTTTCTAATCCATTCAGCCGATTTTCTGAAATAAACTCTCATTTGGACCTTGAACCGTTTGGTTCCCAATGAAGTCCATTATATGGAGAAAATCCTGGAATGTTTTCATCAAAAACCTTAATTTCTTTTCGTCTGAAGAAAGAAAGACATGGACATCTTGGATGACATGGGGGTGAGCAAATTATCAGCAAAAGTGTTTTTTAAAAGCGAAACTGCTCTTTTATATAAAACTAAGGAACTTGAAAGGTTTTATCTATTTTCAGGTTTAGCGTGTGTTTCACTTTTGACTGATGATCTGTCTCATAAACAACATAAACAGTGTAGTTAAGCCTCTTTTACACTTTTTTTCTTCAGATTGTTGATGGTAACCCAAACCTGCTGGTTGCAGACACTGGTGTTTGTTTGTAAACTTCAGGATTTGAGGCTTTTGTGCTTTTTTAAAGGTTTATGCTGCCTGTTTTGTCTGCTCTGTTGTCTGCACAAAACACAGTATCTACAATGTTCAGAACAGCAAGTCAAGAGGCACGTAAAGGGCTTTTCAAAGCATAAAGAGTCTGAAGAGGTCTGCCATTGTTCAAAGTAGGGAGCAATGTACTTGCTGTTTTAAAAGGATCTTTTCAGGTAGGCCGTAAACCGATCCTGGGCCTTTCCTGGCCAGGGTGTGCCTGGGCATCTCTGATTTACCTGAGGGACCAGACGACCGTGCATGGGGCCTCCGAGGGAGGGGGGGACGGAGAAAAGGAGGCAGCTGGTTACTGGTTGCAAAGGATGAATGGATGAAAGAGGAGAAGGCTGAGAAATTACAAACAAAGGTGCTGATGAAGGTCACTGCAGAGGTTTTTGATCATGTCATCCTCAATCCCTCTTGACCTGAGGAAAAGCATGAGCCAGAACATTAGAAAAAAGTGTTTAAACACAATAAACGTTCCAACTGCATACACTTGACTACTTGACAAGTGGTGCTTAGGATAACAGTTAGGATAATGCAGTTCTCTGGCATAAGTTGAAAGTAAAACGATAAAGTAGTTCAGGAGCCAGAACGCCTACAGTGTCATACAGTGAACCGTCAGAAATATAAACAGCTGGCAATCTCCCTCAGAGGGAGTTCTCTGAAAATATTGCCTTGAGGAATATACATCCTCATGTGTCAACATAATTTTGGCTATGAATTACAAACATTGACGTTTTCAATTGTCTTAATAAGTGTATTGTCTAGTAGTGATGCACTGATATGAAAATTTTGCCCGATACCGTTAATTCTTTATTCTTTACTTTATTCTTTATCTAATACTTTTAATGTTCTCATTATAATTTTATGTAGCCTATATGAACGACTTGCACTGGACTGAACTGTATTTTAATTTTTGAAGAAATTACGATCTTATTTCAAGCAGTTCAAAACCATCATGGCAAACAGTGTGCATCTGAAATGTCTCAGCAGAAGGTTGAAAATTTCTTATCGGGAAATTATTTTTTTTTTGAAATATCAAAATTTTCTTATCGGGCCGATAATGATAACATTAGAAAGAATCATAGATTTGCCAATACCTATAATTATTTATCATGCCACACTAATATATATATATATATATATATATATATATATATATATTAGGGCTGTCAAACGATTAAAATTTGTGTTTACATAATGGGTGCACTGTGTATAATTATTTTGTGTATATATATATATATATATACACACACACATGCATGTATATTTAAGAAAAAAATATTATTTATATATAAAATATGTATATTTATATATAATATAAATTATATATAAATATATATGCATTATATACTTGAAGATATTTCTTAAATATATACAAGCATGTGCGTGTATTTGTATATAAAAAAATATATATAATTAATATTCTAGGAGGAAATAGTTTTAATAGCCTATGTTTAAAATCAATATACATTTTTTTTTTCTCACAATAAATATCGAAAGAGAGTTTATCAGAGTTTAAACCCTAATTAGCCTGTCTAAATATATTTATTTAATAAAACAGGCTGAAAATAAGAATTTGCTCTTAAGGGTTAAAAACGGTAATAAAGACATAAAAGGCATTTTCAAATAATCGGTTCTTGGTACTTTTTCTCTTTTTGCCATTGAATAGATGTAAAGTTATTTATTTTAAAACAAAATGCACCAACTACAAACATTATATATTTTTTTAAATCTCCTTCCGCACAGGAAAGAATAAGTTTGTCTTCAAAAAGAAGTTTTCAACAGGAAATTCGCTTTATTTGCACACTTGCAGCCATACACTTTATCTTATCACTCACCATCGGAGCGTCATACGGAAAGTGGGCGTGGCGTAAAAAGTTTGCGAAGCCCGAAAGTGAATGAGTGACAGTTCATCCATCCTCCGCTTTACCAGAGCGCATGGGGCATCCGCTAGGAACCGCGCGGAATTACCAGATGCAAACTTTCACAGACTAACAATGAATTTAAAATACATATTCCAACCCACACATGGACTCTCTGTTTGTTTCATTTCATTACTATTTTTAAAAATCAGACCTTTTTTTGTGCGCCATGCACTGTGAATGCGGGCAAATGACGCAGGTTATACTTGAACTACTTTAACATGTGACCAAAAGTGGATTAAGGATTTAGAAGATGATCTTGAGGAGGCTGTTACATCCACTGCCCGTCTTCGCTCTGACTTTGTTCATCTTGGTTTTGCTGGATTTGCAGCTGCGCACCCGGAGTGACCAAAACCCCTTTGCGCCCTTCGCACGCGAACCAACTGCATCTCTATCAAGGACCTTGGCTGTAAACCAACACAGAGACGTTGTTCTTGAAAATCAGAAACAGAAACGTCAGAAATGGAGGGGGTTGAAGCCGCAACAATCTTTAAAACTCACTGACATCTTCATTGCAGTGAAAACCACCGGCCGGTTCCACAAGACCCGCCTTGCTCTTCTTCTGGAGACCTGGATCTCTAGGACTAAAGACCACGTGAGTGCTCCTTGACTAGGTTCTGTTATATAGCCTACTCAACAAAAATAAAGGGGATCTAATATAAGAAACTCCATAGATCAACAGTCAATGTTTATGATATTTATTGATCATTTTATTAGTCTAAATCACGATTTATGATGCAAACTTATACAAAAACTGCTGATGTTGATGTCACAGGACGTCTGGCAGACATGTGCACATCCTGTGGCATCAGATAGAGGTTGTGTGCAAACGTCCCGGTGAAAGCACAGGTGCAAAACCTCACTTGAGTGGTGCAAAATACGAGTGTCTCACAAGTGGTACCATGTTTCCAACCCATATTTTTTTTCTATTTGATTGCTAATTTGATTGAGGTTATTTTTCACAAGCACGAATTTATTAACGTTGGCACCACGCCGCAAAGATTGGCCCACACATTGGTGCATCATCTATATTAAAACAGAGTGAGATGAACCATTTCCTGTTTCGTCCGCCCTGTGCTCGTTTATAGACTGAACACTTCCTCTCTGTGTTCTCTAATTCAGCAGTAGCTTGTCACCAAGGGTAGCGATAGACTTGTAGGTCCTCTTTTTTTTTTTGTCACAAGAAGCAGACCTCACAGCGGTGACCTTTGAAAGAGAAAGTAATGAAGACCACTTACTGAAAGTCCATTTGAATTAAGCCAAGTTCAGTCGCTCAGTGCCTTCCACTGATAGTTTTATAATACAAAGCATTTGGTGTGGCAGTGAATAAAACTGTTTTAGATAGGCCTATTTTTTTATAGAGGTTGACTGATGGATTCTGGGTTAAGGCTTGTAGATACTGAAACCATCTCAGATTTGACAGATCTAAACGACCAGACCAAGTCTGCGGTCACAGCACAGCGGCTCTGTGAATAGCATCCAAACGGCCTGTGACGTCACCGTGGCATTTCACCACAATTTCGAAAGAAAAAAGTACAAAATTACGTGAGGCATAAAGGAAATAAAATGTTCAATTGTAATGTTATAATGTTTTGTTAAATTGAAACATTAAAATGTTTTGCACAGTGACCATTTAAAAAAATAAAAATAAATTGTGTATGTCAGTAATATTTTAAAATATCAATACTAAAATCAGAATGCTAATATTTAATAATAATTCAACTTTTATATTCTATTACAAATATTAACCTATTTTTTAAATAATACTACTACTAATAATGACATTAAGAATTGTGTTGTATTAATCACACAAGCATAAAATCAGCAGCAACAATAATAATAAAATTAATGATTTTAATGATGTGACTAATAATACAACTTTTATAATTAAATATTTACTTATTATTAGTACTTTAAAGTAATAGCACAACTTTTATATTCTACTGAATATAGTATAGTAATCTATTTTTATAATAATAATTATTATTATTATTTTATTATTGATCACATAATAATAACAACAACAATAATATTGCAAATATTATTTGATTATTAATAATACACTGTAAAAAAATCTTTTCCTTATTAGTAATCACAACATTTTTTTTCTTTTGTCAAATCAACTTAAATTATTTATTTAGTTCAGATAACATAATTTTGAGTTTCTGATGATTAAATCAATCTCCTTCATTGTATTAATTCACTTTTTCCATTTCAATGAACTTAAAATTTTAAGGCAACCAGGTTACTTACTCTTTTAAGTTAAACCAACAATATTTTTTTTACAGTGTACAAATTTTATATTCAAATAAATATGATTTACTTAATTTTCAATAATAAGTATTATTTTATTATAATACAATACAAATGATTATTAATATTATTAATATGTGATTAATAATGTCACAATAAAAATAATGTAACAGTAAAAAATATATATATACGGTATATATAGCCTACTGTAAATATATTACTTATTGAAATATTACCCAATTACGTTTTCAAATATGACCAGTTTTGTGAGATGTTCCCACTATTTGTCAACAACCTCATATATATATATATATATATATATATATATATATATATATGAATTTAAATTATATATATATATATATATATAATTTAAATTCTTGCTGCTTTGATATAGTCAAGTCAAGTCACCTTTCTTGTTTCTTTTTTTTGCGGTTCCTTGGACTTGCTTGACACTTAAATGCATGTTGCATGAGACAAAATGTTCCTGAGTGAAGCCCTGGTTCCTTATATTATTTCTGTGGTACTTGGCAAAAAGAAAAGTTTGACACAGATTTATCTTAAACTGACATCGAAAAGGTTTTATACGTCCACTTTAATGGACATCCGTTTAAACCGTAAATGATTAGATCATTTGACTGTGGCCTGCTGTGACATACAAGCCGAACAAAGTCGGACTGATGTACTAACACTTGCATTCACACGTTCAAACTCGTGGTTTGGCAGGCGCTAACAACACGAGCTGTACTTTGGGAAGATGTTAGTGATTGGACTTGCCGAGCATTATCTCTGAGTGGCTTGTCAAAACGAATTCCCAACATGCAACTCAGGATGTAACACTTTCAAAGGAGCAGCCGTCACTCTAAATATAAGATGACACGTGCGAAATAGCGGCGCTGCTGATCTAAATACTTGAACATCACAGAGAAAGTGAGCGAAATTAGGCTAGGCTGAAATTCCTCTTAAGGCATACTAATTCGTTTGTGTTTGTGTGGGAGAAATGACTCTCAAACGTTCAATAGTTTGACAGATTAAGTTTGAAACTGGAGGGGGTTTGAGGTTGAGGTTTTTCGCCCTCAAATGCAACACTTTAAAAAAAAAATCCCCTGCTTCTGCTTAATTGGTCCTGTTTTGAATATGAGGAAATGGATGAAAATGGATACTTTTTATAGGCTAAGTTTTAGCCGTTCATTTACACGACAACTGTGTTTTGGGGGCCTGAAAATGCAAACTTTTGAAAACGGGATTTAAAGCGAAAGTTATTGAAAACGTTGCGAACAGTGATGTCACGTGACGCTGTCGCCATTTTGAAATCGCTCCGGTAAGTTTTCATTTTGAAAACCGGAAGTGTCGCCTTTAATCATAGGAGAGTCGCGAATGCGATGGCATATTGTTGTGATTAATATAGAAATTAGTTATTCTCAAAATGTACACACATTTCATACTTTAGACTATATACAGTGAAATTAATTTATAAATTAAATATTTGTTTATATATATAATTCAGAACGTAAAAAAAGAAGCAGGAACGAACTATATAAATATCCTATATTGAATATTAACATCCAATAGTGTAAATCGCGGCTGCAGCTTCAGGTTGCTACCTACGCTATCTCACGACCAATTCGTACGAGTGATTAAAAAGTGGCTAATTCCTACAAATTCATACGACCTCACTCGTACGAATTCGTACGATTTGTCCAAACCCACGTGATGGGTAGGTTTAGGGGCGGGGTCAGGGGTAGGTCATTCGTACGAATTCATACGAATTGGCCAAATCGTAAAATATGTACGATTTAGCAAAAACGTACTAATTCGTACGAGTGAGGTCGTACGAATTAGCCACCTCATAAAAATCGTACGAATTCTTGTGAGATCGGGTTGGTTGGTACTCAAGACATTGTTGTCTATCTGTACTTCCGGGGTTCTTCGCACCGGAGCCTCGCTTTCGATTTCAAAATGGTGGCTGCGTGAAATCAGCGTACAGGTGTGTAATGTTTATTTACAAAGTGACACCGCCAACTTCTGGCCTGGCATGAATATTACAGCGTTTTTAGTTGTTTTGTGAGCGGGATCGCCTTGACAACATTGACGTCTGTATGTCAAAATAGAAAAGGAAAGGAAAAACGTTTCCGTATTCAGTGCATTGAGTGCATAAAATCTTAACATTTGAATGTAACAATGTTAATATTAAGTTAAAAACGTTATTTCTGAATGTTTTCTGAACATTCTTTTAAATGGTTAAGGGAACATTCCATTTGACCATTTTGCAAACATAGCTTAATGGAAACATTACTTTCGTATGTTCTCTGAAATAAGTAGAAACATTTAAAAAATGTTCCGCAAACATCCAACCAAATGTTTCAGGTAAAAAAAAGTTCCATGAACGATGTATAAATAATATTTTTGAGAACATTATTTTAAAGACCAGAATGAATGTCTTACTAATGTTCCTGGAGGAACGTTTGTTCATAACTTTGAGAGAACCTTGTCACAGCATCAGCTAAAGTTCTGAGAACATTCAACCCGATCTCACAGGAATTTGTACGAATTTTAGGAGGTGGCTACTTCGTAACAATTCATACGACCTCACTCGTACGAATTAGTACGATTTTTACTAAATCGTACATATTTTACGAATTGGCCAATTCGTATGAATTCGAACGAATGATCTACCCCTGACCCCGCCCCTAAACCCAACCATCACGTGGGTTTGGACAAATCGTACAAATTCGTATGAGTGAGGTCGTATGAATTATTACGAATTAGTCACTTTTTAATCACTCGTACGAATTCGTACGAATTGGTCGTGAGATAGGGTAGGAACATTCCCATGTTTGATGTTTACGATTTGGGCTTTGTTCGATTTAGTTTTTGGGTTCCAACAGCGGGTTTTTAAACACAGGATGTTGTTTGTGCATTTCAGTTTTCACAAGAGTGTGTGCGTTTGTTTGTGTGCCCTTTGCCTCCGTGCCAATAAGAGGAAGCGACAGCCGCAGACTGCATTTTGAAACAATGACTAAACGGAAGTCTATCTGACAGAGGAAGTCTTAAGCTGAGGAAACGGGAACGAAATGTGAAACAACAACTCTGGCACTTTTAACAAATGCCAGGAAATTAAACCCCTCCCCCCAACACATTGTTAGATTTTGTTATTGAGCACTTTTACAGACTAATATGGGTATTTTTCTGTTCATTTCAGCGACATAATGTGTATGAGGTTTTGATATTACAAGCAAAAGCGTTTTGTATGCAACCTGGCTTCCTATAAGTGCATTCGTTTTTATTGTTCATCACATTATGGGGCCTTTTTTCCTAAATTTGCATGTGGAGCTCACTAAAGAGCCAAATGACATCCAGGACGTCATGGGTTGAGCTTGATCTAGTCCTGCTTCACCTCTGTGGATGTAATGGGTGGAGGGATCGAGTTATGGTGTGCTTGGACCTTCTAGCTCCACCCATTACATCCAAAGAGGGGGAGCTGGGCTCCATCATGTGCCTTCTTTTCCCTCTCAAGTTGGGACGACAAAATGTACGCGCTTCCTCCACTGGTTTCACTTCATTATGCCACTAATGGGCAGTTGTACTGCCGTTTCACTCTTTGTGCATCTCCAGACGGTGCTTTATGAGCCGCTGTCATCAGCCGTCTCACTTTAGCAGAAATGAGAGTTAAAGATTCACCCTTATGATTTATGAAGGAGCTCGGGGTGTGAGTGGGCCGTTTCCACTCGCTCTGGCCCATTGGCTTTGATGGCTGTGGCATTGATCTGCGCGTTCGATTATTCTGCCTGTACTCAAGGACCACGGAGGGAGAGGCGTGTAGACTTACGATCTGAGCCGTCTGGAACGCCTAGACGTCGTAATGAAGCTAAACTTCTAGTGACATCTGCACTGCATCATCATGGGATACGATAAATATTGTGTGTGTGTGTGTGTGAGAGAGAGTCAAAACGGAAGTGTAGAGGTAAATATGGCCATAGATAGGATGTGCCTTGGTCTAACAGGAAATGGCTCCCAAATCTGCTCTTCTCACTTGTTTGAGAGGCTTTTTTTTTATCATGGTTACAAATGACACTGGAAAGTTTCAATGCTAATATTATATATTAGTTCTGTCAAATCGATTAATTGCATGTAACAAAAGTTTGTCAAATATATTTACTATACGACTCTTTGACAGATTGCTTTTTTTTTTTTCCTTTTCTGTAATGGATAAAACGTCTGCTAAATGCATAAACGCTAATATCTACATATTAAAAGTAATGATTTGAATATGTATAATAATAATAATATTATAATAATAATTATATTATTAGATTTCTAATCATATAGTAATACATTTCTATATATATATATATATATATATACACATTAATAATTGAATAAGTAAAAAGTTAAATTAATTAGTTCTACATTTTGTAACATTTTTTAAAATGTTGGCTGCATTTGTCATTGTTTATTAATTTTCATCAAACTATGACTATATGACAGTAGCTACCTCATATAATCAAATTTTAGAATTATTTTATACATATTTTATATTTTATACATATTTTATACATATTTTATATACACATTATTTTATATTTTTTTTGCTTTTGTAAGTTGCTTTGGATGCATAGATGTAAATGTCTATGTAATAAAAGTCATGTTTTCAATATGTTTAATAACACTTATATTATTAGGTTTTGAATAATATAATAATACATTTTTGTAATTATAGTTTTTTTTGTAAAAATATAAAATATTTTAAACCATTATAAACCATTTTGTAAAAATAGTTTATTCATTGTTGTGTAACATTTAGTGAACAACTGACACTGAAAAATATTATCCTGTAATAATAATAATGATAATATTTATATATATATATATATATATCATATAAAATAATAATATATTCAATAAAATATATAATTTAAGAATTAAGAATAATAAATATTTATCTTGCACACAAAACGTTCCACATTAGTAAAATTTGTTGTGCGTGAAAGAAATGTATAATTTTATTCAGGAAGGTATATATATATATCTGTCACAACAGAATCCTGAAAAAATGCATTACAGTTTCCACAAAAATGCTAAACAGCATTATTTTAACATTATTCATAACTGGAATTATTTGTTGTTGTGTAAGTGAAGATGATGTCCAAAAAATAAATAAAAATCAACCCAAAAATCTAATTTAAAAGCTATTGTAGTGAAAAGAAAACTGCAATATGAAATGTATAATATACAAAATATTTAATTTACAGTTAAATAAATAAAATTAAGAATAAATAATAATTAATTAAAAATAATAAAAATGTTATATTTATTTTAGTGATATATTTTGTAACATTCATTACCATTTTTCTTTGAAAAAAAAAAGAAGATTATTGTTACTGTTTATTTAATGTTCATCAAAATATATTACAACAGATCAAACGTACCTCATATTTCTGAATTATTTACTGCTATTTTTGTTGTTTTGTTGTTGATAATGTTTCTCAATAGTTTTTGTGCCAGTCCAAATCTCAGCTGTAGTTTTTAGACACTCACACAAAAACACAAACTCTTCGCAACATTGTCATCTCACCTTGAGAAAACATTGGTAATAACAAACCTTGAACGCAGATGCTCTGAGGTCTCCTGGTGCACCAGCTGTTATCTCCCAGTGGTGCATGATGGGAGTTTGGATGTTACTTGTCCTCAAAAGACCACTAGACTCTCACTGCACCAGAATAATTAATATGGTCTGCCTCATGAATTTGTGTTTCTTCTTCTTTTACAGACCTACATCTTCACAGACAGTCCAGATGAAGACATCTCCTCTGAAGGTAGATCATCTTTCTTCTGCAGGATTGGTGTGAGCTTCTGAATCTTTCCTCTTCACTCGTTGTGTGTTTCTGTGCTCACAGGCTTCAATGTTGTCGTCACTGACTGCTCGCCGGAGCACAGTCATCAAGCTTTATCCTGCAAGATGGCTGCCGAGTATCACCACTTCATGGCCTCTGACAAAAAGTGAGTTGGACGATAACGGAATATGACCTTATGTTACGATTCATATCATTGTATCTATGTATATATAGCCACGTTTCCACCAAAATTACCCGAAACAATTTGTCCCAGGAACTTTCCTCCCCCAGACCTGTTGCTTTTTTCGTTTCCATTGCTGTCTAAAGTACCGAGAAGATTAGGCAAATTAGTCCGTTGACTTCCCAGACAGCAAACTGACATTGAATCAACGTGGAAACGACGTCTCTCATGACATTGAAACAACGTTGATTATGCTCATCGAATTAACGTTGAACCAACGTCAGACGCGGCATTCTTCAAAGCTAAATGAAAATCGAAAATTGGTTTGCTTTCATAACGTTGAAACAACGTTGATTTCAAGTTGATTTTCCGTTAGTTTTGAAAGAATGACGCGTCTGACGTTGGTTCAACGTTAATTCGATGAGCAAACCAATGTCAGATCAACGTTGTTTCGATGTCATGTTTCCACGTTGATTCAATGTCAGTTTGCTATCTGGGTTAGGACTGCGCTCGACTTTCCAGTTGCCGCTGGATTTCCTCCTCCGAATATAAGCTTAATAAAGAACCTTGTTTTTAACCTCGTCATGTTTCTTTAGAAATAAAAAATGGACAAATTAAGTATTTGGACGCCTCAGATGTAAAGTTATTCGCTGTCAAAGTGACGGCAAAATGAATGGGAGTCAATGGGATGCTAACAGCAGGTGAAGTTCTGCTACAATGGCGTTCAGTTTCCGGCTGATGGATTACGCCCTTGTGTTCAGCACCCAAGTCCCATTCCCGGAACTTCTTGAACTTTGAAAAAATACTTTTGACCTTCTGAGGGGAAAATTTTTATCCGGAACTTTATTTAAACCGACCTACCGAGTCAAACAATGTGCTAAGACAACGTGAACAGTACAAGTTTTGTTTTGATACAACTTATAAAGCACTTGTGATTTTTCCATAGGTGGTTTTGTCATGTTGATGATGATAATTACCTGAATCCTGGAGCCCTTCTTTCTCTCCTGACTGCCTTCCCTAGAGATGGCGACATCTATGTGGGGAAACCAAGCCTGGATCGACCAATGAGAGCACAGGAACTGCTGGAAGGGAATAAGACGGTCAGTATTTTTTTTTTATCTGAATTCACTCTTCTGAACAATTATCAATAACAATAATTTTTATTTTTTATTTATTAGCCTTTACCAAAATGTATTTGTTTTCCCCTTCAGGGATCAATCAGTGAGTAGAGCTTCATTGCTTATTTATCTGGACAATTGTGTTGGCTTTTTTACTGTATTGTTGGAAAAAAATGCTGTCAGAGGAGTTGATTCAATCATGTACAATGTGTAACGCCAATAATTTTGAGTGTGTGTTTGTAGTCATGCTGCCTTTGGACCTGCTTCTTCTCTCTCTCTGTATGTTTGTGTGTGTGTGTGTGTGTGAATGTGTAAATCCTGGAAAACCCAAAATGTCCCCAAAAAAATGACAATATCCGAACTTTTCCTCGTAGGGACCTATTTTAATCCCCATGAGAAAAATAGCTAATTAATCATATTAAATTATGTTTTATGAAAATGTAAAAATGCAGAATGGTTGGAGGATAGAATATTATGTCTAGTATGGAATGTCCTCATAAATCATGAAAACCCATTGTGTGTGTGAGGTCTACAGGAACAGACAAGCCATTTAGGTCTCTCTCTCTGCTCTACTGATCTCTTCTTGGGCCACATAGGCACCTGGGTAATAAAAATGAGACCTGATTTTTCATTTCTGCCACCCCAGCCAGACTCTACCTCCGCTCAATGGGATGAAAGACAAAAAGAAAACAAATAATTATACCCACCATAACTATTAGTTTATACCCACCATAACAACAAATGTATTCTTTTTAATTGTGGGGTTACTGTCTAAAAATCCATTTTGCCTGCTTCCATTGCTTTGTTCCTCAACTTCTTTCTCAATATAACACCCAGTTGGACAGTCAAAGCTCCATTGAATCTAAACTTCTCTTTCGTTCTGGTCAAAAACCTTGGCCGTCCCATATGCCCTTATCTCTGTGTGTCCCCTGTGTTGTTTATGTCTACATTTATACGTCAGGCTGGACAGGCCGCAACTCCCTACAGAGGAGGAATACGGTTGAAAGAATGAGACAGAAAAGGACTGTAAAGAACCTGAATGGTAATGGCCACACGGAGGATTGAATGGATAGATAAATGGATGTGGGATAAGTAGATGGATACAGGCAGATGTATGCCCCTGTCGCTTGTGATGCTCCACAGAACCCCATGTGAAAACGCTAAGATTATCTGGAAAGCCTAGAAATGAAGAGCAGATTGCATTGAGAGCTTACAGAGAAAGAGAAATACATTGCAATTTTGTTGCTTTGATAAGGGATTTGGTCACATAATTGGTGAACCATCTGAATGAATGTAAAGATTTTAGATTGCTTCTTGGCGGTACAGGTAATAAGAAAAGGTAATAAGAAACTTGAATGAAGAGAAGGGGAGAATTTAAATGGAAATTCAAATAAATACGTTTTATTCAACATTTGTTTTCATATTGGATGAGTGGCAATTTCTGATGTTCGTATCAATCCACATGTCTGTGTTTGTGCTCAGTTTATGTGTTGGCCTATTAGCAGTGTTGTAGTCGAGACCAGCTCAGTCGAGTCCGAGTCGAAACCGAGACCATAGAGGGTCCAGTCCGAGTCGAGACCAAACAGAGTCGAGACCGAGACCATAGAGGGTCGAGTCTGAGTCGAAACCGAGTCCATAGAGGGTCGAGTCCGAGTCGAGACTGAGACCAAGAGAGTCCGAGTCGAGACCAGAGACCAAAGAGAGTCGAGTCCGAGTCGAGACCGAGACCAAAGAGAGTCGAGTCCGAGTCGAGACCGATACCAAAGAGATTCGAATCCAAGTCGAGTCCGAGTCAAGACCGAGACCAAAGAGAGTCGAGTCCGAGACCAAAGAGAGTCGAGTCCGAGTCGAGACCGAGACCAAAGAGAGTCGAGTCCGAGTCGAGACCGAGACCAGACAGGGTCGAGTCTGAGTCGAAACCGAGTCCATAGAGGGTCGAGTCCGAGTCGAGACTGAGACCAAGAGAGTCCGAGTCGAGACCAGAGACCAAACAGAGTCGAGTCCGAGTCGAGACCGAGACCAAAGAGAGTCGAGTCCGAGTCGAGACCGAGACCAAAGAGAGTCGAGTCCGAGACCAAAGAGAGTCGAGTCCGAGTCGAGACCGAGACCAAAGAGAGTCGAGTCCGAGTCGAGACCGAGACCAAAGACAGTTGAGTCCGAGTCGAGACCGAGACCAAAGACAGTCGAGTTCGAGTCGAGACCGAGACCAAAGACAGTCGAGTTCGAGTCGAGACCGAGACCAAAGACAGTCGAGTCCGAGTCGAGGCCAAGACCAAAGAGAGTCGAGTCCGAGTCGAGACTGAGACCAAAGACAGTCGAGTCCGAGTCGAGGCCGAGACCAAAGAGAGTCGAGTCCGAGTCGAGACCGAGACCAAAGACAGTCAAGTCCGAGTCGAGACCGAGACCAAAGACAGTCGAGTCCGAGTCGAGACCAAAGACAGTCGAGTCCGAGTCGAGACCGAGACCAAAGACAGTCGAGTCCGAGTCGAGGCAGAGACCAAAGACAGTCGAGTCCGAGTCGAGACCGAGACCAAAGAGAGTCGAGTCCGAGTCGAGTCCGAGTCGAGACCGAGACCAAAGAGAGTCTAATCCGAGTCGAGACCGAGACCAGACAGGGTCGAGTCCGAGTCGAGACCAAAGAGAGTTGAGTCTGAGTCGAGGCCGAGACCAGACAGGGTCAAGTCCGAGTCGAGACCAAAGAGAGTCGAGACCGAGACCAAAGACATTCGAGTCCGAGTCGAGACCGAGACCAAAGAGAGTCGAGTCCGAGTCGAGACCAGAGAGTTGGATAACCTAAGGTTGGGTCTCAAACCAGACTTAAAGATATCTTCAAGAATATGTAAAATATTTGGTGGTAACAATAAAATTGGCACCATTCTCGAACACTAAACCAAATATACCATGAAATCATGTATATTTGTCCGAGTCCGAGTCTTGAGTACACAACACTGCCTATTAGTGGTGGGATTTTGACTCTTTTGGTATTTTATTTACACCAGTTAGGTGGCGGCAAATAACTGTCTTTATGAGTGAGTCAAGGCATCATTTATTCAAGCGATTCATTTCAAAGCACAGACTCATTCAGGTATTATTTAAACAGTTGGCTTAATGAGTTATTGAATCATTAACTCAAGCAATTCAATCATTAAAAATCAGTAATTCTTCCAGGAACAAAATGAGGAATTGGCTCCAAAATGGCATTCTCTCTTGAGTAGGTACTTATTTTGAATAGCCTAAGTAATTACTTCACGACCGCAAAAAATTGTAGTATGAATGTAGAAAGTAAAGTGTCCATCGTGTGCACACTTCTCACCAGAAGTGGTAGGTCACCCAGGTACTTTTTGCCTAATCTTGTGAAATCAGACGTTCTTCACATACTGTTTTTCGCCTACTATATAGTAGGGAAAAACGCAATTTTGGATGAAGCCATTGTGTAATTCTTTTTATTTACTCAATGAATCATTCATTAAACAGATTCATTCAGAATCTAAACAAGTGACCATCTTTATGAACAAATCAATGAATATTTCACTCAATATAGGTTTTAATATATATGAAGAGTTCGTATGCAAAAGCCTCTAAATGCCATTTGAAATTTTTTTCTTTAATTATGATTTTTATCAAACTTGTATATTTAAGTTCAGTGATTTCACTTCATTGGCAATGATAATTACCTATTAATTGTTATTTAAGTGAAATTACTGAACTTAAATATACAAGTTTGATAAAAATCATCATTAAAGAAGAAAATTTCAAATGGCATTTAGAGGCTTTTGCATCTGAACTCTTCATATATATACACGCATATGTACAAGTGATGAACATTTCTGTACACTTGCACAAGATTTTTTTAAAGAAGAGGTTTGCAAGTTGCTTTAATAACTACTCTTGTTCATCTCTTTCATCTCTTGTTGCTTAAATGCCTGCTTTAGGTGAGGCTTTTACTCACGAGTCTCCACATGTACTGCTGTAAACTATCACACACTGACCGTTTGCATCACTAGAGCTTCAGAACGACCACAAATCACCCTGCACATCAATGTTTTAGGGCTTGATTCTTAAATTGTAATGAACTGTAGCATTAATTCTTCATTTTTAACCAACTGCAGCATGTTGAAACTGACTGGTTGACTTTTTCCTCTGTTCGGTTTCAGAGGGACGTGCGTTTCTGGTTTGCCACAGGAGGGGCTGGTTTCTGTCTGAGCAGGAAGCTGGCAGAGAAGATGGCACCCTGGGCAAGGTGAGGCCCTGATTCAGCATGTGTGTGTTTGATTATGAATCCATTTCATGCACATTTTAGTGCCTGAATGAGAAATAATTTGAAAGATCTTACCTACCCTACACTTGTGAACTGTATAGTATATATATTATGCATATAGAATGTTTGTCTTTATTTGCAGTGGTCCCAGGTTCGAGCAGACCTCTGCAGCAATCATGTTACCTGATGACTGTACGGTGGGATTCATAGTTGAGAGGCGACTGGGCTTCTCAATGGTCCATAGCAACATGTTTCACTCTCATCTAGAAAACCTACTTCAAATTTCCCCCAGTGATATCCCCAAACAAGTGAGATGACTATAATTTTCACCTGATGTTTTATTAGTATTGCTTACATTACTGCTTACCCTAGCAACCACTTATAATAATGCCCTAGCAACCACCTATCCATGTAAACATCTACCATCTAGCAAATAACTAACAATCACGCAAGCATTCATAACAAAATAGAATATAACAACTTTAGCAAAGGCAAAAAGTAGGACATATTTTCTTTAAAAAATTAAAATGCCAAAATTTAGTTTATTATAGTTTGATTCAAAATACTAAATGAACTGAATTAATATTTTGGTTTTCAAATAACTGGATTCTAATATTTTAGTAAAAAAACAAAACAAAAAAAAACAGAATATATATTTTACCTCAAAGAACTGAATGCTAATATTTGAGTTCAAAGAACTGGATGCTAATATTTTAGTTCAAAGAACTGAATGCTAATATTTTAGTTCAAAGAACTGGATGCTAATTTTACAACTGGATGCTAATATTGTACCTCAAAGATCTGGATGCTAATTTTCTATCAAAGAACTAAATGCTAATATTTTACCTCAAAGAAAATAACGCTACTATTTTACTTCAAAGAACTGGATTCTAATATAGCGATCTGGATGCTGATTTTATATCAAAGAAACAAATGCTAATATTTTAGCTCAAAGATCTGGATACTAATTGTGGGCCTATATCATAGAAACAAATGCTAATATTTCATCTCAAAGATCTGAATGCTAATTTTACAACTGGGTGCTAATATTTCACCTCAAAGATCTGGATGCTAATTTTATATCAAAGAAACAAATGCTAATATTTTAGCTCAAATACTAATTGTGGGCCTATATCATAGAAACAAATGCTAATATTTCATCTCAAAGATCTGAATGCTAATTTTTCAACTGAATGCTAATATTTCACCTCTGGATGCTAATTTTATATTAAAGAACGGAATGCTCATATTTTACCAAGAACTGAATGCTCTGATATTTTACCTCAACTGAATGCTGATATTTATCTCAGTGAACTGGATGCTAATGTTATTTTATCTGCCAAAAAAAAAAAAAAAAAAATATATTTCTATATGCAATTCTAACAACAAATGTTCTGTTCTTCTTGTTTGTTTCTCTTCTTCTAACACTGAAGGTGACTCTAAGCTATGGATGGTTTGAGAATAAAATGAATAGTGTTGAACTAAAAGGAGTTTTTACCAAAGATGAAGATCCGTCCAGGTTAGTCATGTACACACCTCACACATACAACTACATGCAGACCCTGGGGATATTGATTTGTTATTTATGACTAAAGGATAACTTTTTTCCTTTGTTAATTCGAAATTACCAGACAAAGTAATGTTAAAGTTAGATATAGCCACTTTAACAGATGTAAAAGCATTTTCTACTAATTTATTCCTGAAATCTAATTTCATGCTAATATTTGTATGTTTATCTGTAAAATATAGAGTGAGTTTAGTATCTTTCCACAAATCTTTTTTTTTTTCTTCATTAAACATCCAGGCATTTTCTGTTATTGCTAAAAATCCATTCTTACACACTTTGTGAGCAGACATATCTTACAGGCAGTTTAAAAGCAATCATTGTACATATTAATCAGCTTAATCTGAATATATTTGTCTGTATGAATCACCAAACTCTTCACAAGCTAAAAGGTTTTATGTTTTCCTCAAGAGATAACGGATACTTGTTTTAAAAGTTTGATTCCTGCAAAGATTTCGCAAACTTCAACTAATCATTTGCTTTTATAAGTTATTATTCTATGATGACATTTAAAAATGTGCCAGAGACATTGTTAATGATGCATTTAAGATGTTTTTAGCTAATGTTGTTCTGTTGTAATCTGTTTTTCAGGTTCAGGACAGTCCACTGTCTTCTGTACCCTTCAACAAGTTGGTGTCATGTAGCTCTCAAAAACGTCTTGTCATGGAATCAACATGGCTTCCAATGATACAATAATCATGTATAAAGTGAGAATTTTAATGCATGAACTTCATAAGGGCCGAAGAGCCAACAAAAGCCAAAAAAGCACGGTGTTCAAATGAGGAAACGGAAAACCTCAATGTTTAACTGAGCCATTATTGTTAAGTGTAACTTCTGTCTACTTGCTGCACATTTTGGTTATGAATATGTTTTTTTTAAACCATTTACTATATATAATCAAAATATTTCAAAACAGGGTAATCATATTTTTATTCTATGATCAGTTGTATTCATATATTTGCACTGTACACATTTTGATTACTGTAATATATATTTATACTGTATGACATGAAGCACTTAAGATAAGTGGATATCCACTAAAAATGTTTTGCAATACATTTTACAATGATTGTTAAATACAATTTGTTACTGTATAAAGACTATGAATTATTTATTTTATAACACGAATGTGTGCGTCTGTGTGTGTGTGCTGGTGTGTTTGGAGAAAGTGCTCTACATGAAACAGGTTGGCATAATCATGCACCGCCCCTTTAAGACAGGGCTTTGAGAGATAGAGGGTATTTGCCCTTTAAGACAGCCGACCAATCAAATGAACCAAGCAATCAAGCGGCAGTCTGTGAGAACAAGCCGAGAGTTTGGTACACCAAACAAACAAACTAGCACAATTAATTCCAGTGTGGATTATACAATACAAATACTAACCCACAATAGCATCTCCCGTGAGTATGTTTGATTCTTTTTGTTATGTCTGCTGGTGGCCGATTCCCCTGTGAAGTGCTTTGAGCTGAGAAGCCAACTGTTTTAAAATATTGTCTAGTACTTGCATATATGTTGAATTAGTTGATTATTTATTGTCTTGTTGAGTTTTTGAAAGGCCTTTGATGAACTTTTGAGTGCACTTTTGATCACAAACACTTTAAGAAGAACCGTTTGCAATTGATTTAATTCTACAGATGAATTTAGTATTGTTTATTTAATGCTGCAGTCTGCTGTTTTTACTCTTTGTCACCATCTCTATTCAAAATCTGCAATTGCAGTTATGGGTTGTGGGTTGAAGACACAACCCACGAGAATGTTGCCACGTAGGTGTGTGGATACTGTCATTCAGAATCACAGATTATTGTTTTTGGAAATATGACCAACACGATTTTTCACCATAAAATGTAATCTGAACAAGTAACATCCATTTGTTCTGTTATATTGCCATAACTACACCATTCTGGGGATAATCTACATGCTTTTATCTTTGAATGAAAGTTCTCCCTCATACTAACTGTATAGTACGGTATAATGGCCTACTTGTTTTACTACAGTATGTAAATTTGGAAAGTTTTCTTTTTGCCCCATAAGTCTTAATGTCTACCTGTGGACATTCAGTAGACCAAATCAAACCAGCCAGAGAGAGATCTGCAATCTCATTTTCTGCCATCTGCTCACTGCCTGATCTGTGGCCATAAAAGCAGCTGAAGATAATAAAAGCTCTCACACACTTCTATTTGTCCTGTGGTCGAACACAGGGAGGTCTATAATGGAAGTACTAGTAAGAGATTCTTTCTTCTGTTGAGCACAAAAGAAGATATTTTGAAGAATGTTGATAACCAGACAGTTGACGATAGCCATTGACGTCCGTAGTAGGAAAAAACGTACAATGGAAGTCAGTGGGGTCCATCAACTGGTTACCAACATTCTTCGAAATATCATCTTTTGTGTCCAACAGAAGAAAAACTCACAAGTTTGGAACAATTCAAGGGTGAGTAGTTTAGACAATTTACATTTTTTGGGTGACCTATCCCTTTAACAGCTATATATATATTAGTATTAGTATTACTTGTTATGGCAAACCTGAGCACAGTTTGAGACATTGTTGAAATTAGGAATGCGCCGATATCGATAACCGATAATTCCTTATATTTGAAAGCCGATAACCGATATATTTGCCGATAAATCTGAATCCAAATTTTTATATAGGTTTTAAGTGCCTGATTACAAAAACAAAAGTCTCACCATTAAAATCCAGGTCCCAAGCACACAATTAGAATGTTTTCGTTATGAATTATGTAATCTGACAGACTTGCGTTGCTCTTAACTGTATATTTCTTTAGAGAAGTGTTTTCAAGCTATTCAAAACCATCAAGGGGAACAGTGCGCATTTGAGGCATCTCAGCTGTAGGAAATAATTCACTATTTATTGGACTTTCTTTTTGTTCTTATAGACCTTTTGCGCCAGAATATGTGCAAATTAATAAACATTTTGTTTTGCGGTAGCTCTGTATATTTCTATGCCATCCCATCTCTGTCGAAGAATTAGTGAATTGGATTTACTTATTGTACAGTTATCATGGGCAGTGTACTGTTTGAATTGGATCATAACAAATGTCAGTATAACTAGAATATTTAAAAACGAGCGGTTCATTCATAAATCTGTAAGATCTTACCTTCATGCTGTGGAAATACAAACAATGAGTGCTACATAATGTCTATTGGTGTGTTCGCTTTAAAAAGCCCAGTATCTCTTTCTGAGGTTAGGTGCATTAAAAACACCTTAGCAATGGCACGGTTCACATGGACAAACTGTGTGGTACTGCAACTCTTGGGAATCAATAGCCATCGTGCCTTGAACCCCCAACATCTCCCCCTACAAGACAATCAATAGGTAAATCAATAGGATCTCAATGAAGACACAAGCTGCCACAGCACAGGTGTCTCGCTGAAGGTATTTTCTCCTTTTTCTGAGGCCATTTGTGATGTAGTGTGGCCATCATTCGATGTTGATAATGGAGGGGGAGCAGAGCGGTTGAGTGGCCCTTACTCTTCATAGCCATGGAACCGCCCTCCTCTCAACGCCACTCAGAAACCGAGAGACAGGTGCTGACTTCTAACAAGACGTTTCAATGAGAGTGCCAGATAACCTTCAACTCATTGTATATGTGTTTACAACTAGCAAATGTCAAACCTCTAAAGACATTTAAATGGATAGTTCACCTAAAAATGAAAATTTTAATGTTTTTAATACATATATAAGTATTATAATGTGTAATGTCAAATCAAATGTTATATTTGATAAAATGTATAAAACTTTCAAACAAATTAATAGTATTAATAGTATTAAAAGTAATTTATAAAATATTTTTGGGGGTTAGCTTTTTTAATTAATACAAAATGGGCTTATCATGGGCTTATCATATTTCATATTTGCATGTATTTTTATTTATTCTACAAATTATTATTTTCTTTTACTTTTTAGATTTATTTTTTTAATTAAAATTAAATTTAATTTCATTTTTATTTATTTGTAAATATTGTTTCAATTTCTATTTAGTTTGTTAATAGGTTTTTAATGCATAAGTATTATAAATATTATAAATTAAATATGAAATTAAATGTTATATTTGATAATGTATAAAACTTTCAAACCAATTATGAATTTAAATATTACAAAATTGTATTATGAATATTATTTATAAATATGAAAAATGTACTTATTTCATATTTATAAAATATTATTTTGCATGTATTTTTATTTATTTTACTTTTTAGATTTAGTTTTTTTAATTCAAAATAAATGTAATTGCATTTGTATTTATTTATAAATATTGTTTCAATTTGTATTTAGTTTGTTAATAGGTTTTTAATGCATAAGTATTATAAATATTATAAATTAAATATGAAATTAAATGTTATATTTGATAAAATGTATAAAACTTTCAAACAAATTAATTCACAAATGATTTATAAAATATTTTTTTGGCGTTTAGCTTTTTTAATTAATATAAAATACGTTTTTACTATGAATATTATTTAAATCAAATATGAAAAATGTACTTATTTCATATTTATAAAATATAATTTTGCATGTATTTTTATTTATTTTACAAATTTTTTTTTTTTTTTTTACTTTTTAGATTTAGTTTTTTAATAAAAAATACATTTAATTTTAGGTAATATTTATAAATTAAATTTGAAATAAAAAGATTTAAATAGAATAAAAAAAGAGAGTAAAAAGAAAGAATAATAATTTATAATTTATATTTTAATGCATTTTAACAGTTTACATCCAAATCCGTGAAGCAACAACGCAAGAAAATTGTTAACGGTAAGATGCCTTGATGCCAAAGTCATTAGATATGCACACATTGAGCCTCATTCATAAAACATGCTGAACAAATTTCTATGTAGACAATTAAATTGTCATTAATTCTAATTATGTCTATTTACAATCAATTTTCACAAATCCGTTCTACTTACAGTATGTTTCATAAATGAGGCTCAATAAATAAATGGACAGGCCCAAGCCAAGGTTTTTCTTAAACCCATTTATGACTTTGTCCTGATTAAACAAGATTATGGTGTTTACAATAATGACTTAATAATGATTGTCAATTCAATCAAAAGTAGCATGACCCAAAAACCTGGTCTGTGTAAAAGAGTAGCTGTGTATATAACATTCCTTTGAGACTTTAAAGTGTGTTTTTCAAAGAAAAGCTCAGTGGGACCTAATCAACAACAACAACAACAACAAAAACCTGACCGTGTTGCCTCTTTGAACCCATCCGACGGCTTTTTGTGCTCTTATAGAGAACAGAATAGCTCCTGTTCCATCTGATAGCCCTCCACAGAGAGGGGAAGTGTAGGACTGCCAATCACCTTCACTTCAACTTCACTTCTCTTTCAGTTGTTTCTCAAGCCAAACAGTAGGAGCAGAGGTGATTTCTTCAGCACTGACCCCTTTAACCCTTGTTCAATTAATTCTGGACCAACCGTGATGAAGTCCTCCGAACAGGAAATCTTAGACAATTCCTTGCCTTGCAAACAACAAAATATATCTTTCATGCACGTCACACAAACACGTCTCTTCCAGTGTCTTCTTTTGTCTCTTCACAATGACTCAGTTGAAATCTGGCTGTTTATGTTTCATTGAAAACATAATACTGATACATGATTTTTATCTGTTTGGTAGCATCAATATTTCAGTTTAGATGTATAGTGAAAACTAAAAACTAGCAAGAAATGCAGATAATTGAGAAAAAAAGGCTGAGGGGGAAAGGAGGGAGGGAAAAAGTTTAGGTGAGTTTCAGGACAGGAGAATTCCCAGACAGATGGTGATTGGGGAGAAAGAGGAGATCCCATCATCATAAAACAAAACTGTGTGAGTCACCGTCACAGTACGAAGCCTGCGGTACCTCTCCTCTCCACCAGGGTGCAGCACATTATCAGTGAAAGTGTAATGATTACAATAAAATCCATGTATTTGTTAAAATGGAACAATATATTGATGGATTTCAGTAGCAGGAGAACCACTTGGGATGTACAATCCGAAGAGGATCTGACGTCCTTTCTTGCTAATGGGCTATGACACTGAAAGTAATGTGTTTACAGACCTGTCAGTCTCATTTTGCTTAAGTGTCAGGAATCTGCTCTTTGCTTTCAGCCTTTTTCTGGGAAAGGTAATGGCTTGATTCAAAGGTACATTTGGGCTGGCCAGTTAGCACGCCGTCATTCCTAGTTGACAAAGCTTTTAACCTCGCTGACCGGCTGACATAAAACATCAGTAATCTGACCCCAAACACATTGTCACCATCAGTACCTCATCCCCCAGGTGTGCCATCACCATATCTGTCAAAACACATGTTGCTGGCTTGAGATGGATGGCCTTGCTTAGATGAAAGACACTTAAAGTGACATAAAACAGCCTGTTTTCCTGTTGTTATTATACATATTTGAATGATTTCATACTTAACAGATTATAAGGACTTGCTGTAATTATGTGTGCCGATGAATTGTGTACAGTAAGACCAGGAACATGCCTTTCAAAAACAAATAGGGTA